CCTACAACATCCAGAGCCTTGAGAATACGTGTTGGTGGGATTGAGGAGCTCCTCAAAGTATTCCTTCCACCGTCCGACTATATCCCCAGTTGACGTCAGCAGCTCCCCGCCCCCACTGTAAACAGTGTGAGCGAGTTGCCGCTTTCCCCACCTGAGGGACCGGACGGTTTGCCAGAACCTCTTTGGAGCCAATCAATAGCCTTCCTCCATAGTCTCACCGAACTCCTCCCACGCCCGAGTTTTTGCCTCAGCAACTGCCGCGGCTGCGCTCCACTTGGCCCGCCGGTACCAGTCAGCTGATTCCGGAGACCCACAGGTCAACCACGCCCTGTAGGCCTCCTTCTTCAGCCTGACGGCTTCCCCCACCTCTGGTGTCCACCAGCGGGTACGGGGGTTACCGCCACGACTGGCCCCAGCTACCCTGCGGCCGCAGCTCGCAACAGCCGCCTCAACAACAGCAGAGCGGAACAAGGCCCATTCGGACTCAATGTCCCCTACTGGCCTCGGGACGCGATCGAAACTCTGCCAGAGGCGTGAGTTGAAAATCATCTTGACGGGTTCTTCCACCAGGCTTTCCCAGCAGACCCTCACAACCCGTTTGAGCCTGCCAGGTCTGCGCAGCGTCTTCCCCCGCCATCTGATCCAACTCACCACCAGGTGGTGGTCAGTTGACAACTCTGCTCCTCTCTTTACCCAAGTGTCCAAAACATACGGCCGCAGGTCTGATGATACGACTACAAAGTCAATCATAGACCGGCGACCTGGGGTGTCCTGGTGCCATGTGCACCTGTGGACATCCTCATGTTTGAACATGGTGTTAGTTATGGCCAAGCTGTGACTAGCACAGAAGTCCAATAACTAAACACCACTCGGGTTCAGATTGGGCAGGCCGTTCCTCCCCACCACACCCCTCAAGGGCCCCTCTCAAGGACTTGGGTTCCGGAGCCGACGCTATGTGTCGAGGTGAGGCCGACTATATCTAGCCGGTATCACTCAACCTCTTCCACAAGCTCCCGCTCCTTCCCCGCCAGAGAGGTGACGTTCCATGTTCCAAAAACCAGTTTCTGTAACCGAGGATCGGACCGCCAAGGCCCCCGCCTTGGTCTGCTGCCCAATCCACAATGCACCGGATCCTGCTGACTCTTCCTGCAGGTGGTGGGCCCACTGGTAGACGAACCCATGTAGCCGGTTCGGGCTGGGCCCGGCTGGGCCCCATGGGCTAAGGCCCGGCCACCAGGCGCTCGCCCACGGGCCCCAACCCCAGGCCTGGCTCCAGGGCGGAGCCCCGGTATCCCTCCGGGCCGGGTACACAAGTTCTTGTTCGTAATATTCATTGGGATCTTCTGAATAAGTAATAGTAATAGTAAATAGTAAATTAGCAGTATATATGAAATGAAAATGAATTGAGAAGTAAGATATGCTGAGTTGAATAAAAATGAAGACTATTGTGTGATGAGTTTTTGTACTTGAATGTAATTTTAAATGTAATATGGATTTAAAGGTTGTAGAGCAGAGTAAAATGGTGACATACCGTTGTAGCAGCAAAAAGAGTGAATCTAAAATTATCAAGTGCATTGTGAATGTAGGATTGATTGCAGATGAATTGATATGAGGTTTGTAAAAATGTGACCTACGTGATGTGTTGTCCAGGTGGTCCAGAGGGTCCAGACAGTTGAGCAAAGGTGACATGACAGGAGGTGGTCAGAGCTGAGGCCTGCTGATTGAGCCATGATCCTTGTGTGAAAAATGAAGATGGATAGAAGGGTTACATATGACACTGGTATGACTGATGATGCCCAAATGATATTCTTGTATGTTTTGTAGGGCTTGGAGGGTAGACTTAATTGAGATGAAAATGCATGTATTTTGTAAAATAATTTTGCTAAATGAAATCTCTCTGTGGCACTTAGAGTAAAAGATGTGAAGATAAAGGAAATCCTCTTACTGTTCTGCAGACAGTCACGGTCCTGACACAGTTGAGTGCGATGTTGAGAAACGGCTGACTCCACCTGTGAGAAGAAATAAAGCAAAAGTGTTTTGAGGTGTTGTAAATGTTTGAGCTGCAGTGATCAATGTAAAAATGAGCCTTAGAGTGTGTTTTATTGTTAAATATTGAAGTGGTTGAGTCGTGGCTCCATACAGGTGATTGGTGGTGATTTGGCGTGATCTGGTGGTGATAAGATAAAAGTGCAAGATGTGAATTTGAATTGCAGTTGTGAATGGTAAAAATGAGTGTGTGGACATGACTAATTGTTTGATTTTGTAATTGACAGACTGAACTACAGACTGACAGACTAAATTTAAAGAGGGTTGTAGCTGCCATTAGAAATAGTCATACAATTGAAATTGATTTAATAATTGAAGTTAAAAATGAGAATAATTTTATGTTTGGATAAAAATATTGATTTGGTTTATTAAGATGATTATTAGTTAGAGTACACATAAAACATACATGAAAAGGAGCTGTGTAATATTTGATAGCGGAACAAATGTTCTTTGCATTGTTGTGGGTTGGATTTTTGGTTAGTTGCGCACTGAGTAAGAGCACGGGTAAAAAGGGTTGGGTTCTTCAGAGAGGATGGAAAAAGGTTGCACACTGTATTAAGTGTATGAAGCTGAATGAAGACTCAAAAGGCTGGAGGTTCATTTTCTTACCCCCTTTAGTTGACGTGGCCAATGAGTTCTCACGGCATGTTAACAGTATGGATGCAATAAATGCCCGTATCTACAAGAACGCCTTGTGTTGGTGTTTTAATTGGAGGGAGTAACAGGGTTGCAGGCCAGAAAGGAATAAGTGAATATTTGTAATGTTATAAATAAATGAATAAAAGATGAAAGTAATGGATACCATGGTGTGGGACCTGTGGTCTCTGAGCTGTCACCTCCGGAGCGGGCGACACACTGTCCAGAGACAGTTGAGAAAGATATGTGCGTATTTAATAGAGCGTGTTTGTTTTGTGATAGTGATATAATGAGAGTGTTTTAAATGAGAAGACACTTAAGGGATGGATGTGAGTATTGTAAATAATGTGGAGTGGTGACTACACAGCTACAGTACATGATGAGCAGTTAATTCCCAAATGAGCTGGCCAGGGCCATTACCTTTTGTCACGGGTGGGCTCCACCTTCCGGTCTTATGGACAGCCGCTGGTCTTTATTAGAAGATTGGTGAATGTGGCACATGGGAGTGTAAAGAGTGAAGAGCTGGAGTTGGAGTGGTCTGCTGGACTGCGCTGGTCCTGGTCTCCTAAAGCGGGACATCTGCATTAAAAGAAGACACAAGCACATGTAGTGACAGACAGACTCTGTAGGCTGAGATGAGGGAGGGTGGGTATTCTGCCTGACATTTGAGCTGTTTCCCATGCGAGTACATATGCAATGGATTGTGAAAGTGTTAGAGTGTGTCTTTGGGGAAGATGTTCCATAGTGCAGTGGTGTAAGGTAGAAACCCTGCAAGCATAATGTCCCTGGTTTGATCGGCACAAGGTGTTTTTGTTGTATATGTTGCTCCATGAGCTGTTAAGAGTGAGAAAGACTGAAGAGCTGACAGAGGAAATAAGAGGCGTTAATGCGCTGTTCCCACACATGTAAAGTGGACTGATGCACAAGCAAAAATACAGTGTTTTCTGCAAAGCCTTATCTCTTAAGTGTGAGAAAATATAATATGTTTTGTCAATGTTATTTATGAATGAAGAGAGAAAAGGGGCCAGAGAAGACCTGAAGTGAACACAAACACAAATGTGGTGTAAAATTCCTCACCAAAGCACTGTAGACCGTCTTCCCCTCTGGACCTTTGTTTTGAGTTTTCTTTGCTTTTTCCTACATTTCCTATGAAGGATATCATGAGTTAAGATGTTTGAAAGTCAACAGAGAAGCTTGAGCATGTGGGGTGAACTGGGCTTGCTAAGTTAGCTAAGTGTGAATAATTTGGTTATTTTGCATTTGAGAGTACTAAGTTGTGATTTCCTTTGACATGACTTCAAAGTTAATGGAAGAGCTATGCAAAGACATTAAATGTTACTTATTTTGATAGTTGTTTAGTGATATTTCCTTAAATTGAAGTTACCCAAATGTTTGTAGCATGTGCTCCCATCCATGCTCCCATCAGTGCTCCCTCCAAGCCAAGGTGAAGGGTCAGACTGTCAAACAGGAGGTGGGTGAATCCAACGTGATTTATACAAGGGGGAACCCGGATCGTACTAAGCGGGGTAGAGAACAGAGGGGTGTTTGGCTGCTGCCCGAAACAGCAGTTGTACAGGTTGTATGTTGAAATTTCAGCCAATCATATGAACTTTTAAGGGCCAACACTGAGAGGAAAGACTGAAACTCTGGTGGTTAAAACACCCTGGAATTATCTAAGTTGTAAGATCTAACAGGACTTAGAAGAGTTGAGAAAAATGGTTCTTTTCACCTTTGACCGAGTGGCTAAAGGGGTTAGAGGGCTACTCTACAGACTCAGAGGTTGTGGATTGGAATTTCATATGATCTTACTACTTTTCACAACAACACCCGGACGGAACACTGAAAACCTTTCACAAGAATGCTGTCATTTGATCAGACAATTCCTCTCTTTTTCTTACTGCCTTTGACTGTTTGCATGGGGTGTTGGACTTCCAAACTCAGCTACTGTAACTTAATAAGAATTGAACCTACATCCTCACAACACCAAAGCACTCCTCTAACACCCTAAGCTATTTAACCAGACAACAGAACCCCTTTTCTATAGTTATGTCTTTCATCTGGACCTCATAAATTTGCTGCATTTTATAAGAATTGAACCTACAGACTGCCTCTGCACTAGCAGGCAGTCTTACAGCCGGAGGCTGCTATTTGAGCTGGACTTCAAAATGTTCATGCAGCATATCATTCATTTGAATTTTGAAGAATTAAGTATGCTTTATTGTCTCAAATGCTCACTCAGGACTAGTAATTCATAAAGTTTTTCTACACCCCTGTAGTAATGAAAATATGTTTTTAATGATTTACAATGACGCGAAAGAAAAGAGTAAAATAGTTTATTGTATCAGTAAAGATCAACATAAGGCACACATACAGTATCTGAGGGTAGACTCACACCAGTGTCAGTATCTTTCTCCAGCTTTCATCATACACAACCTCCCCCATTCATACCACCATGTGATCATACAGCAAGATACATCATTACGTCCAGTTTCTATCTGCAGGACTCAAAGGGTACAAGGCATTCCAGCTTGGAGAGGCTGAAATTGATGCAACACATTAGCAAGCTAAACTCTGCAGCTCATAGTACAATGTCAAGCAAACAGAGCCTTTAGCAAAAATATATTCATATATAATTATACACCTTTTCTACACATTGAAGCAAATCAACTATACAAAAATGCAGAAAACTATCTCGGCACAATAACTGGTGGGCCGTTTGTAAGAAAGTCCATGCTTAATATTAGCATCAGAGTGGCAGTATTACAGAATCAAAAATAGTAGCAGTACCTTTGTCATAAAACAGTTATAGGAAAAACTTACAAGTCCATATAATGCCAAAAATATTAGCTTTGAAAACAAGAAAACATTCACAAAAGACATTTCCATCAATATACATGTTTATAGGAGGACCAAAACTTGTGTCCCTTTCAAGAAGTATAAGGTTCACCCATAAAACTTTGATTGGTCAATTAGTGAAGGAGTGCCATGGCTTCTAGATACTTTTTGGTTGAAATAAAGATCCCAGAGTTCACATATGCAAGGACTACAGCGACGGCCATGCTACAAAATTACCCTAATTTAAGGACCAAACAAAAAAAAGATTTTAAGGAATAAACTGGAATATTTTGAGAGACCAGTCATAATTAATAAGAGCATAAAAGCCATAATTTGGAGAAAAGGTTTTCATATATTTGAGTATGAGACAAAAGTTGTAATTTTCCAAGAATAAAGTTGTTTCTACAAGAGAAAATGTTATATTGAAACAAAACGTTCATTTCTACAACAAAGTCGTAACAGCAGTCTGTTAGCTTCTGTGCCAAATTTGAACTTTATTCATGTTATATTAGTTTTCTCCTAAAATTCCACTTTATCTTGAAATATTTTGACTTTTCGTATAATATCATGACAGTTTCCCTGTGAGATTACAACTTTATCTCAAAATATACTGTATAACAATGACTTTTCTGAATAACACGTTTTCTTGTAAATTCACAAATTAGTTTTTTTTCTCATAATATTACAACTGTTATGTCATAAAAAAAAAACAAATAAAGCCAAATCTGAACTACAGTAGATCTGTACACAGATTTTCATTTTTGCAATGGGAGTATTTTTAAATAAACAGTCCCAGAGATTCTCTGATCTCTCATTTTGCAAACAAAACTTTTGGCAAAACAGACACTTTCAATAAAAATGATCTGTTAAGTTCATCTTTTCTGTGACTTTCATAATGTAGGTGTACATTTTGAAAAATCACAAACACTGCTCAGTAATTTCAGGGTCCTCCTGTTTATAATATCTCATCTTCCCTCCAGCTTTATTGAGTTTAGTATGGGTAGCTGTCCGGGAAAGCCAGTCCATTGGTGCCCTGCTCACCTCCATCACCCAGGTAGGGACCCTCCTCATCATAGCTGGGCAGGGGGAGGCCGTCCTCCTCGCTGGGAGGTGGGACGGCGTCTGGGTCAGCTTTCAGGCTCGGCCTCTGGTTGTCTGGGAAAGCCATGGAGAAAAGCGCCTCGGAGTTGCATACAAACTTGTAGACGTACCTTTCCCCGGCCACCTGCAGGAGGAACCAATCAGAGAAGGGAGAAATTAAGTGGCATTCATTGGACAGTTATTGTTTAGTGACTTTGTTTAGGCATTGTGAATTAATACTGTTTAATCACTGAAGGAGTCTTTAAACATGAATGCACTGTTACTCCACTTATTACTATTATTACTAGAGTTTTGCAGCATTTGGCAACACATGCAGCTGCTTGAAAATGCAAACAGGTACACGGGTAAATTTAATAATATAATGGAAAGAGGACATCTTGTGTCATTTTAGTGCTTTGTTCGGTTCTGTGTGTTTGTGTAACACTACTGTATGCAGGATATGTACTGTAAAATGCAGCAGATGTTGATAGGCGTGACCCAAGTAAAACCTAACGTGTAGTTCTATTAGGGTTGATGGAGGATCCTCAGGACCAGTGCACACTAACTTTCTGAGGGTTAACTTTCACTGTCCACGGACTGGTTTTTGACAGCCCTCCATATCATTATTCCTCTTCCTCCCAAAGTGGAAAAAAAAAAAAGCTGGCACATCCATCTATAGCAGACTATACAGTTCCAAATATTAAAAAGATAAAATTCAGCTAAGATTTCATGATAAATGTGGAACCACATGTAAGAGTAATGGAGGACAGAATAGAAACATGACCTGCCTTTACCTTCTGCATGATGCCCTTCTCGTAGTAGTATCTCAGTGAGCGGCTCAGCTTGTCGTAGTTCATGGCCGGTCGATTCTTCTGAATCCCCCAGAGTCGAGCCACCTGGACAAAACATGAGAGAGGAAACCTTCCATTAAACACCCAACTGGATTCGATTTTCTTTTTAAAAAAGGTTTGTCTTTTTACTAGATATTGTGCATCAGCATGTCAGTAATTTGCACTTTGCCTTTTAGAAAATCTCACACTAGGTTTTGCCAGTGACTGACCTCTTCGGGATCAATCAGTTTAAACTCCATGTTGCGTCCCGTCCACACAATCAGATGTCCGTTAGCTGGGTTGTCAAGCAGCGTGAGCAGAAACTGCCAGAGCTGCAGGGAGCCGCGGCGCTGGTACGGCAAACCCTCCTGCTTCACTTTCCCTGCTTACGGAGTCAGAGGAGACACAATGAGAACATAGCTCCCGATTTCTGGTCACAACAAAGAGTCATATTTATCTCAACATCAGCAATTAAAAATACTAATCTTTTAAAGTTCAAATTCTAGTCTTGTTTCAGTCTCACCTTCCAGCCTTTCTGGTACAACACAAGTGTCGTCGTAGTACAAATGTGGCTCCCTGTCGTGACCAAATCCTGTGGAGAGATATGATTATATATGATTAGAAAAGTTAACATCGGTTGTACTGAGGAACTGGAGGCTCCAACAACACAATTTGCAAAAGTGAAACTCACACAAACTCACCGATATTGTTGTTCTGGTACAAGACCGGAGATTTCCCAAATGATGACGACTGGCAGGTTTGAACCTCTGGAGGACACAAGTCAAATCGCAAGTGTTCATGAGCAAATTGCAAACCTCTGAATGCTGATCTCTGTAATGACAAGCCTGTGTGTTTTACATGTGAGTGCACCCTTTCGTATAATTTGAGCCTACAGCTGGTGTGCAGCGTGTCTTCGGCCATACTAAACATTACTCAGCAGATAACACACAGACCTGAGTCAAAGCCGAAGTCTCTTGGCTCTTGTTTTATCGTGACACGGTTGAAGGTAGTCTGGGGCTGGCCCAGACTTGGACCTGACAGCCCTGGGTCTGGGTACCGCGGGTCCACCAGCTCCTGTTTGAAACCTTGGGGGCCGCGGGGAACCAGGGGCTCTGAGAGGTGGCGCTGGTACAGAGGGCGCCGATCACGGCTCGAGGGGGGGTATAATGTGTTTAGCGTTTTCTCTGGCGGGAGGAAGGACAAGCAGGGCTCTGACATCTGCCGCTGAAACCTGAATCGTGGAGCAACATTTTAGGGTTTCAGATGAAATTTGCTTCTAGCTTACATCATATAAAAGTAATAACCAGAGCTCACCTTTGATCCCTGCTGAAAGCTGCACCGGGACAGCTGACGGGGGGACGTGGCAGAGCAAACTGCTGGTTTTGGCTGGTGGGTGGGAGGTTGTGTTGGTGGGAAGGGCTCAGGGCAGGAACGTGGCTCGGGGGGCAGCTGTTGGACAGCTGGGGGCTTGATGGCTGTAGCTGCCCCTGTAAGGGCGGAGGTCCAGTCGGATGGGAGGAACCACACTGTACTGCGGGTGTGGAGGCTGGAGTGAGGGCTGGCTTGTTGTCACAGGCACTGAAGAGAGAGGAGGCAACAGGAAGGAGTTGGACATTCAGAGTATTCTGACTCAGTGTGATCATATCATGCATTCCGCCTAAAATGTGTTTGGTACCTGTAACTATAAAGGCACATGTCTGCTTGAGGCGTTCTGCAGGGAGACAGGTCTTTGGACGGCGTAGGCTCTCGCTTCACTTTGCTGACAGGCGGTCCATGAAACATCACTGCAAACACACATACACACACACACAAATAAGTATCACTTTGTTCTGCAGATGACCCGACGCTGAGGTCCATCACTACAATACAGCATAGGTGAGTAGAATTTTGCTTATGGTGCTCCCCAACTGTGTTAACTATTTTTAACTAAGCAAAAAAAATAGTACAGTGGAGAACTGAGCAGCCTGGTTCACACAGATTACCTAACAAATGATCAGGATGTATTACCTCAGTGAGTAAAATTAAAGTCTGGAAAAAGACACATAACTACAGAGCAGTATGTATGTGATGGTAAAACAAGGGTTAAACACTGATTTCAGCCTCTGGTTTCTCTGTTTTTTTTTGGGTAGAAGAAAGAAAGCCCCCTATCTGATCTCAGCCTTCCTGGAATCTGCAGTGACGACAGCGCCACCGGTAATGTTTCCATCCGCATCACAGTCGCTGTCAGATTTATTGTGTGAGCAGAGAGTCATTCTGTTGAGGCAGCTTTCAAGCAGCAATAAAGGCATTTCGTACGTGTTTGGCAGCAGCAGCAGCAGCAGCAGCAGCAGCAGGAGCAAACACTATTTCCTCAGCTCCTGCCTTATCTGTGACATCACTCTTTTTAAAGATACAGCTAGAGTTGCTGGAAGTCATTTTATAGCCCCCCCCCAATTTCCTGTGCTACATGACTACTATCATTTCATTGGAACAGATCCACTGTGGGCGTGTCTCAGGGCCATATACAGTATTGGCAGTCAACGTGAACACTGTAAACACAATTCTATGTACACCTGTGGCCTTGAGGAGTACATGGATCGTACTCATTCACACTCCACACTGTTGAGCCGGGCTTATCTGCTGAAGACTGGCTGTAGCCTCATTGTACTTTTTACACCACCACACTCATTAACAGCATGACCCTCTCAACATGACTGAAGATGTCATTCATTAAAACAGAATACAATAAAATATCATTTTAAAATTTCCATTATTTAGAACATGTTCAGTTATTTCCAAAAACAGATTAAAGAAGAGGAAAAATATATGTTTTGAACTATTTTCAACTGTGCATTAATACACATTTTTCTGGACTGAGTGTTTATTTGTGAGTAGGATCAATTCATCGTCTTTTCCTGAGTCTGCGCAGTGTTTGCTGCAGTGTTCAGGGACAGAGTCATTAGGAAAAGGATGCATAAATGAAGAATGTGTTATTCTACAAAATGTGCACTCCCTGTTGTACAACTCTGAGCACTCTCTATGAATATTAGAGGAGAAGCGGCTACTCACGATTATTGGACTGGAAATCAGGGACAAACTGCTCGTCATCAGGAACCTGAGCTGTCAGGGGAGAAAGACAGAAAGTTAAAAGCCTCTTCTCAGTACACTCCCGGAGTTAGGTATGTCAGATTTAGTGCCTCAAATTTCTCTCCCTCAGGTTGTCACTTCCTACATTTCCCAGAATACCCTTTGACCTCCCCTGTCGAAAGGGGCATGCACACTGCTCTCGATCAAGGAAGTGCATTTATAGCCACTGCATTCATGCTGGCTTGTTTAACGGTGACATTTCCTGACGTCATTAATCCCTTCACGGTGGTCTCACCTTCTGCGATCCAGATTTCCTGGAGCTGGCTCAGATCTTGAAAAAGCTCTGTGAGACAGTCATGAAATTATATTTGAATGGGTGTTACATTATTGAACATGTTAAATATCAGTGTTACTATCTTGGATGGATGCTGTATAAGATATAAGATTTGTCACTACATTCACAACTTTATTTAAATATAGTAAACACAGGTGATTTAAGGAGCATACCCTCTGTGTCCTGAGCCAGCTCCGTGTCCACAAACTTCCTTTTCCTGTCGCTGAGGCATTTCTCTGCTTTTTCCGTGTGACATTTCTACAAGTTTAACGACAAAACAGTTTAGTAAACGTAAATGTGATTAATCCTGAGGCGCTTTTTTGTGCAAAACAGGATACATGTATGAGATTTGATTTAATGTTTCAGACTCACACTCTCAGGGACCACAAAGGGGACCTGTTGGTCATAAAAGCCGTCCATGTTGCAGGAGTCTTCACTCTGGAATAAAGAGGGATGTATAGGGATATATTTTAAAGCTGTTCTGCAGGTTTGTGGTAGAATAATCTCTCTCCTAAATTTGCCCGGGTATTTTCCACCAATACCACCACTCCACCCACGTGACTACCCTCTCCTACATACGTCTCTTAGTGGGTTTGTTTGTTTGTTTCTTCTAGCCTCCATAACCCCTACAGGGTTTAGAGTCGCTGTAAAAGCGTTGTCGTCAATGACGGCATTATGCAACGTCTGTCTGACGTGGATTCGAGCTGCAGGAGGAACCAGTCTTCAAAGACGCTTGAAATGGCAATGCTTGTTTTGAGGAGATCTGAGAGAGTCTGCACTGTGGTGACCTTCATGGGTTCATTAGAGACACTGGTAGGCAGACACACATGAAAGATATGGGAGTGATATCCATCTTAGATAGGGGCAAGAAAGCAAATAAGTGTGTTTCCCCAAAATGTCCAAACTATTCCTCTGAATCATGCAACTTGGAAAAAAAAAAAAAAAAAATTACTGGTAAAGTCAGGAAACTTTATTTTGTCTGCCACATCTCCTGAACATGTCAGCACTCTCTTTAATCTGGATGTACTGGAGCTTTCATTTTACACCTCTATCTTGTACTTTCAAATTAACTTTGCAACAATCCGTTCACTCTCTTCTGTCAGGACCTTAGTAAACTGGCATTCGCAGTTGTATTAGCTCCGTCCTGACCCGAGCCTCTCTCAACTTATTTTCTTTCTTCAGACTGCTGACGCTAACTCATCCTCTCGTGGATTTTAACTGCTCACAAGACGCTTGATCTACACAACAGTTTACCAACTGTAACCTCAATAGTAAGTACTAAAAAGTTACTGAGTCTCACATGATACACAACAGCTGTCATCCACTTTCAGAGTTTTCAGTTTTTTGTTTTTGTCTCCTTCTTAAAAAGGAGCAGGCAAATGTTTGACTATGTTACAACCTATTTATTTCAAATGATGTGTGCAGTATAGCAGATCTAACTTAAAAGCATATTTCACAGCATAGTGAAGTTGGATCAATGTGTTTTTCTACTTTCTGAACAGCCTCTGTTTTGATTATTTTTGTTATTTACATATCATACAACAATCCCTTTTAAGTTTTGGTCCAGCAATATTTTAAGTTCACTACTGTGGTTATTACTGATTTTAAAACCCACTAAAAACCCACTAAAAACACATTTTGTAAAAGTCCAATTCAGTACACAGAGCCAACTCTCTCATAAGTTAGAAGTCTCATACCTCTACCTGGTAATTATGAGATAGTTTTCTCATAATTACAGCATGTGGAAGTTGTAATTACCAGTAAATGACTCTTTTTTTCGCCCCTCGGGTGAATACAGCGGGCTTCCGTAGATAAACAAAACATTTGGCTGCAACTGCTTTTGTTTGAGGAAATCGTGTTTTAATAATAAGGGGGAAGTTGGAATTAAAGTTTAGTCCATTTACTAACAACACAAACACGAAAAACATATAACATCACTGCTATTCCGGATGTTTTCAACCAAACATAAACAAAACATTAAAGTGAGAGATTTGTGAATGGAGTCCGGTGTGACGCACACTGAGCAAAAGGCACGTATCCTAGGACCCTCCTTGTTTTTCTCAATGAAGTGAAACTTGATCCTTGCAGGAAAGTGAAGTGGGGGGAGGTGGGCAGGTGGGGTGGGGGCAACAGCTCACCATTGAGAAATTTGCCACAGAACACGGAGAAGGATCCGCAATGCTAATGGGCCGTAAAGACAGCTGCTGCAGACGGAAAAACAGCGGTGCAAAGCTGATAGATGCGGCTTGGGGGGTGGACGCAATGTTGCCTTTGATTTTCAGAAAATGGCGTTCGCCTCTTAACCCATATCTGCTCCCCTTAGAGCCACTAACAACCCGCGACGCTGCAGTTAGCATTTGGGTGACCAAACGAAGCAAAGCAGGCACACACACACACACACAGAATAATAATAATATTCATGCAGGACTCACTTGAACAGTGAAGTTTCTTGGCAGTGTGAAATGAACTCGACGCAGGTTTCCTCCCCTACGTCCCCTGTAGCTCCTCCATCAAAAACTCGCCAGTGAATTTTTCTCAATGAAGAGCTCTGGTCGCTGGATCCAGTGCGAGCCCTGTGCCGCCCTCCCATTGGCTAGAACTCAACGTCAGTCAAAGGGCGAGCCAATCGTCTTCCAGACTGCTCTGACGTCCGTTCCTTGTGTTTTTTATGAATGGCTGCGTTTCATTCATGGAGTCAGCGCTTTCTTAAAGGGACAGCGCTGCCATTCCATTGAACAAGAGCTATTACACAAACAGAATAATCAGCAGTAAATCACTGGAAAGGTTCAGCTAAGTGGTTAGTATTTGCAATAATTACAGATGAGAGGCCATTTACACCTTTGATAAACCAATGGGTGCTCTGTACCTCAAGGCAATTCCCATTATGCCACGTAAATAAATCAAATCCAAACAAAATTCAAGAAATACATGTCTACCTTTGACTGAAAACAACAAGATTCTCAGAGGAATGTAGAATGACAAATGTAGTCTCAAGCTCCAATGTAACATTTTTGGGAATGAAGTTTAATTGAATTCGATTTGAAATATATTTTTTTGAGAGGCAGACACTGTCATTACAGAGTCTCTCCTGGGATTTAATAGTGCAGAGGATCTGAAGGAGGATTCTCATGTGTGGTATCTCTCAGGACACATTTGTTGAAGTGTAGTTGTACTGTAATACCTCTCCCAAGACACACACGTTGCCGTTTTGTAACCGTCACACGTTTGACAGATTTAATCCGGCATCACACATGACTGCCTGAAAGTCCATTCATCTCAGTGGGTGGCACAGCAGCTCCTCCACTTTTAATTCCACTTTGGTCTCTTTCCACTTCATTACCAGTCGCTGCAAAGAGATATCACCTGATTATGTGTAAATCTGGAATGCAGTGGCTGGCACTGGGGTTTCTCTTTGTAAACTCATAGTTGTAGACTGTGGATGGAAATCTACAGTATAAAAACGCAGCAGTTTCGGAACTTTGGTCTAAATTGGACAAGAAAACTAAAAGTCTTAATATTCAGCATCAGCACAGATACAGTGTAATGTTTCTCACTAAAGGCTGTTATTTATTTAAAACATCCTCAACCTGTAATGTAGGTGTTGTATCTTACACAGTCTTGAGAAAGTTCAGGAGACTGACTATATTTAGACCAACTAAATATACAGTATGTTCAATCAGTATTTCAGTCTCACTTATGTTCTTCTTTGACTTGGCACTCAACGCATCTGCAGCAAGCACAGGAAACCCTCTTCCTGGTGCAGTATTATGACTTCAGACTGAATGACCTGTTCAGGTGGATGTTTTTTTTTTTTTCACATGTTGCACTGATTGTTCGTGCCCTACTTGGAATCTGCTTGATCAGCGTCAGGAGATGCCAGAACGGATCTGTGTGTGTGATAAAAGTTGCAGTTCAAACATCAGCTGAGCTCAGCGCCTCAGTTACTGATTTGCAACGTTTCCTGTTTGCCCGGCCATCACGCGTCTACTACTATGTACATATCATATCACTGATTTTTATTCTTCCGTTCTGGAAGATCAGCATGGATGATATCATCTAACATGTCCTGCAACAGGAAATTAAACATTACACTTTCTTATCAAACGTGTCCACAGGTTGTGTTTATGATGATGTTTTTTCTTCTGCTCTCTACTGTTGTCCTATTGCCTTTTTTTCCTCTGCATCTCTTTTATGGTTTTACTTGCTGACATTCTAAAATTGAAATACTAAATATGATGTGTTATCTTCTTTTTTTTTTTGTTGGGGGGGTGACAATTATTTATTGCATTTCATAAAGTTTATAACACATGGTGTGAACAAGTGGTAAGGGAGAGGAAGAAAAGAAAAACCAAATGCATAAAACAGGCAAAAGAAATAATTATGAATTTAGTCTATTTATCAGCCTCCTGGTTGTTCTGTCCTGTCCTGTGTCCTGTCCTGTGTAATGAAGCTCTTACACCACTAGATGATGCTTATACCAACATCCTTCACATCCTGACGGCTGGATGACTCCTACACTCATGGAAATATCATTTGCACTGAAGAAAGAAAACTTCTCACAATTATTTTTCTCAATAAATCTGCTCAAATGTTTTGGCACAGGCTGCCATCTGAGAGAAATGGCTGCAGACAAAGCATAGGTCCATGTTGGTGAATCCTCCTGAATCATCACAAATGGCCGAATTTCCAGGAAATATGCGGTGGATATTCATGGTGGGCTGAGTTTCAACAAATATCAACATCTAATAGGTATATTCATCTAAGAGTCTGTTAATGGTCCCCTGAGGATGAATCCCATAAGGCTCCACCATCACAACATGTTCAAATATCTACTATGGGATGTCTTATATTTGCACATATTTGTTGTTGTTTTATCATGAAAAAATCACACCCATTCTGCTGCAGTGTCTCTGCTTTTATTTGCAGGTAAGTTCAGTTTCTGGAGGATGAGTGGAAGAAGATGGTTTGGAGTAAGGTGTGGTTTCAAGTGTGTCTACATGTCCACAATACGTCTAATGGAGCCCACAGTTGGATGAAGGGCCCCCCATTCTGCGTGTCGTCTGTATTCACCCTTTTCCAGCAGGTACTGGCGCCCCCTGTAATTTGGATGCTCGTAAAAGACCCAGGTGCCGTCCTGGACGTGGGCCGATTGGACGTCACGGTAGCGCCAGCGGTCCAGCAGGTTGGGCAGGTCTTCGCTAAACTCAATCATCTGGCCGCTGAAATCTGGACGTTCGTAGATGCGGATCCTGTGCCTGCTGGAAGGCTTGAACATTAAACAACACACATGTTAACTGGTGAGCTCAGGGGTTCTGTCAGGTATGTTTTGTGAACTTTGAACTTGAAGCCAGGCCAGTTGTTTCAATTTTAAATATAATCAGTGAGGTCATGTTAACCCGACCCAGGCTATTTTCCAGGACTTACATATCTGATAAGGCGACAGGATCGGATGGTGTCATTGAAGCCGTTCCAGGTCTGGTAGTTGGGGTACTCTCCTCTCATGAGGACATACTGGTAGCCCATGTACTGGGGTCTCTCATAGATAACCCAGGCCCCGCCCTCCACCCGGATGGAGTTACAGCGGGTGAAGTGGGAGCTGAGCTCAGGACAATCACTGCTACATTCGTAGTAACGACCCTGGAAGTTTTTGTCCTCATAGAAGAAGATCTGCAAGCAGGAGTCTGGGTAAGAAGCTGTCTGGGCTAAGGTGATACAGATATCTGCTTCCATGACAACTACTATTTCTACCATTAACTAACTTTTTTATTTGTTTTTACCATTTGAACTATTTGATTGTCTTACTGCTCATGTTTCTTGCCCCATTCTACCGTCTGTTGCATTCCCAGATCTCATAAATTAACTTGGTGAGTACAATAATTATTACTGATAGGAAACATGGTGGTTTCAGTGAGTTCCACTGACCCCAGGTGGCCAAAACAACCAGTTACTGCTTTAAGGTTTTGATTACATATCATTATAAGAAAAATGAATAAACCATCCAGCTTTGTCAAAGAGCAACAACAACATCTCACTGATTATCACTTTGAATCTTAATGAACATTTACAACCCACCAGTTAGTGTGACGTGTTATTATACTGTACAGATATACACAGATATATTCAGGATTACAGTACTCACTTTCCCCGTGCGCTCCATAATCACCTTATGTTCCTCTTCACCCAATCAAATTAAAGCCACTCATTGACACTGTATGAGCGGTGGCCCACTTTTATATGAGGCCTGATGAAATGCATCGCCAGTGGAACAATTGTCATTCAAATGAGCTCTCCATTAACTTTGGCACATTAGCTGACCCTGCAATTGTTTCAGTATGTGGCCTTTATATGTGTTGATGCAGAAACTCTAGAAAAAGACTGGGCCAAAATTATTGCATTGAATAGTGTTATAAGTGGTTATGTTGCTGTTAGTTCAGTTTTTCATTTACACTACTTTCCATATCACTTGTATTATTATCTTAGAAATTAGTGGAAATTTTACTATTTCTTGCTATAATACTGTTTTTGTATACAATACACATGTTAATGTTCATTTGTATTATGTTACAATATTATCTTACAGTATATATGGTACATCTGGATAATTCCTGTAACCCTTTTAAAGTTAGTTTCATGTCTGTGTCACTTAGTCTATAAAAGTATAACTTTTTTTGAGTTATATGTTAACGAAGCTCAAAAAATATCAGCTCATCAGATCATTGGAATATATGTACTCACACACTCAACATATGAAACAGGTTCAAATAAATGACCAAAAAACAAAACAAAACAAAAAATATATATAAGCAACAGTATATTATTTTTGTGTTATGACTATATTTCAAGATGTGCAGTATGCAAGGTGTTATACTGTAAGGTATTATACTTAAAAAAAAAAAATACATGGCTAGTGTTCCTTAACCCGGCGGACGGATCCTACAGTGGGCTGCCCCCCCCCCCCCCACTCAGAGTACCGTCTGTACTCGCTCCTCTCCAGCAGGAACTGGTTCCCTCTGTAGGTGGGATGCTCATAGAAGATCCAAGGACATTGACCATCTGCTACGATGAAAGGCTATAGAGGAAAAACTGTATTGTTGTTTTCTAACGCAATGTTTTGAATGGAGCATGCATACACTCAACAAATACTTCTCTTTAATAATATATCAGAGGAGGTAAAATGAGTTAAGGAGAGACAAAAGTCTTGTAGAACAATACATTATATTTCAAGACTCCTGTGGAGGTAGAGGTGGAGGAGCTGCAGCTTGACAAGCGTCCACATTGGTTTCTTCTGTCAGCCATTATGTTTCAATATGACTCAACCAGGGCTGCAACCAAACATTGTTTTTTATTAAGTCACTAATCATTTTTGCATAAAATTAAAGTCACAAAACTCAAGATCCATTTCTTCAACAGCTTTCAACCCTGTCTCATGGTCTTCATGGTGTTGCTGCATGTTGAATATTGTGTAGTCTGGATACTGTCTACGGCTCAGCACATACTGGTAGCCCATGTAGTTTGGTCTCTCATAGATTACCCAGAATCCTCCCTCCACTCTGATGGAGCTGCAGCGGTTGAAATGCGCGTGCAGCTCACTGAAGTCATTGTTGCACTTGTGGAAGCGACCCTGGAAGTTTCTGTCCTCATAGGAGATGACCCAGGAGGTTATGTTATGTAATGTTCGTTATATATATGCATATGGTTTGGATGTATTTATTATTATCTATATCAAAAATATGAATAAGTCATATATGTGGCACTAAATATGGGCAACAATGTGAAACGTGCGTTAATATCAATAAACATTTGGTATGTTATGTAAAACATTAAAGCAGCCACCTCCAATATTCTCTTTGTACACAACAAGAACAATAAAGCTCAGCACATGGCTTGCTTTGTGTGGCAGGGATTATTCAATCAGCAATTCAAATATTTATCCAGGCTTGTCCCACATTGTTCTGATGCAGTCAATCCTGTTTCCCTAAACAATGCAAATGCAAAGTGCAAAGCGGCCCCAAAGCCACTGGATGCAGCAGAGCGTGCTGACAAAAACAAATGAAATGCTTTGAGCTGAGTCAGTGACACAGCGGGAAGGCACTAGAGACTTTACAGGTGATAATGAATCATGAGCCTGGACAATGAACACTGAACCTGGAAACAGCGGTTTGAGAAAACATCTTAAGTCAAGTTCCACTTACTGCTATTAAAAAAGCAACAAGTCCTCTCAATGACACAACAAAATACATTGTTTGTAATTGCGCTGCAGGATAACACACGTCTGTTTTACAGTCTGATGCCCCTCTCAGCCAGACGGCATCATTTGTCCGTGCCTCCAAAAATCCTTCACAAATCACTGTTGCAAAAATAAAAATCTTCTCTGAGCTGACAGCACTAAGGCTAAGGTTTGGTTAGGTTTAGGGAACAATTGTGGTTCCACTCATTTCCAGTGGACAAGCATCATACTTCCTTTAATTTGAATGAATCACAGTAGATATGCAGTGTGTTTATATTTATGAAAACACAAGCAATATCAATTTTTTTCTTTGCCAAGAACAATGCTCCTGGTGGCTTCTGGGGAATTGTGCAGCTTTGTATATTTTGAGAGGTGACAGGACACATTTTAATTTCTGTTTTAATGCCATCATGCATGGAGCAGTAGAGGTCCTGAAATTACTCTGATTCATCCTTTCTCTCTGGTTGAAGTTGTACAAATCATTGAACTCAGGTGCGATAGTGTTTGTTTGGAATAAAAATCTTACTCCCCTTATTTTGTAAGGCAGTTATCCAGAGAAAATTTGTTAAAAATGTGTTATCTCAATTCATCTCCTCACAACTACTTCAACCTTGTCTTTTACTGCAGTTTTTATGTTATTGCTATTTCATGTTCTGAGATAAGTAGATTGCGATCACAAAAAATGGCTTTATCTACCAAAGACACTGTAGTCTTCCATATTTATGGCTCAGTAAATCAAACCAGTTGTCTAGCATGTGATATATTTACAGAAAAACCATAAGAACACAGTCAGCGTTTGCTTCTCATTTATTGATTGTGTCGTGTCAGTGTAGGCATCTGAAAAGGTCTCAAATCACTTCCTGGTTCAGGCTCAATCTGAGGTAGAGTTAGAACTCTGTGATCCTGCGGAAGGAGCCGACACCAGGCGAGGACGCCCCCCAGTCGCCGTGCTGCCGGTATTCGCCCCGCTCCAGGAGGTACTGGTGCCCCCTGTAGTTGGGGAGGTCGTAGAACACCCAGACTCCATCAGTCACCACACAGGAGTACGCCTCGCGCAGCTTGTAGGTGTCGTACACTGAGGGACAGTCGTCTGAGCACTCCACCATCTGCCCTCCGAAGTCTGGCCTCTCGTACAGCCTCAGCTTCCATGCACTGCCATACACCTGAAAGACACAACAGTGTTTTCCTGAGACTGAACTCGCTGTTTCAATACCTCACTCTGTGAAATACAAACCTTTCCCTATGCATGAATGACCAAACACAAGCAGCTGTGAAGAGCTTTGCTTGAATACAATTATCTGACATTAGAAACACTGTCCTCGCAGGAACTGATCAAAGAGGAAGTAAAGAAGACTACAAATCTGATCAGATATTCAGTAGTAGCTGGCGTTACATTGGTGTGCAGGACACATTTTGATCAGTTCCAAAAAAGTGCATCTAGGTTTTTTACTGGTTTAATTAGTGAGTGAATGTAAGTCCAATATTCACCCTCTTTTTTTTAGCTCTGTTTTGGTCTCCACCAACACCTAAGAAACATATCTGGCTCTTTAACTCGTAGATGTTTCACTATATCTAGTTTTGGCATCTTTTTGAGCTTCCCCTTTCACAGTTGCTTGGTTTATTTATTGGCAAAAGCTGCTGCTGCCTGCTTGTTTAGTCTGTTGGCTTCACAGTGTTCACAAAACTTGGTCTTGTGCCCTTGTGCATTACTATCTTTCTGTTCAGCGCATATATTTTGCAACATATTTTCTATGACTATACAGTAACCTAAAATACTCCTGAGGAAACCTGAGTGAGGACTCTTACATTCTTAATGGCACGGCAGGATTTGACGCTGTCACTGAAGGCCATCCACTGCTGGTTGTCGGTGTACTCCCCAGGGCTGAGGATGTACTGGAAACCCTTGTAGTTGGGCCTCTCATAGATCACCCACACACCGCTCTCCACCCGGATGGAGTTGCAGCGGTTGAAGTACGTGTGCAGGTCGGCACAGTCGCTGCTGCAGTTGTAGCAGCGACCCTGGAATTTCGTCTCCTCAAAGAATGTGATCTGTGGAAAAAAGTTGAGAAATGTGAGCACTTTCTGAAACTAAACATATACTTACTCAATGAACAAATGTTTTTTTAAAATTATACTGGTTGTAATAGCTTTTATCTCACCTTCCCCATTTGGATGCACTGTAATCCTCATTCTTTCCTGCAGCCCCATCATAGTATTTATCGATAAACAAAATGTGCAGAGTGTGGCAAGTCTTTGATACCCAAATGAGGGAGATTTACATATCAGCAAAATGGCTTGGTGCTGTTTGATTTGCCTTTGTTCCAGTCTGATGATGACTCTGTATCAAACACATGCTGGAACAGTGAAGGCAGAGGGGTCAGTGTCAGACAGTGACGGAAAGAACTTTGAGTTGACAAAAAAAATATATACATCTTATGGTTTCATCCAGGCAGTTAACTTGCTGAGTTAAATGAGATTTTCTTTGTGAATTTAGGTACATCCGTTACAGCTGTTTCATGTGAGACATAAGACTAGAAATAACACAAGTGTAGAGAAAGTAGTTCCCCTTATGGATTTGCCAAAAGCTTATTTATCAATTTCCGGAATGGAATGGACAAACTCTCACAAGACACACTGTATTTACCCTCGTCATCATTTTTGTTTTGGTGCAGAAGTGCTTTGGCATTTTGGTAAATGGGTAAACATGCAGTCCTGGGTAATTGTAGCTCATGGATTTTGCCCGTTTTCTTTGCTTTGTCAAAAACATTTTTTTTCCTTCCTCTACAGAGTGGATCCATAATAACGGAGGCATCATGACATGCTTGTAATGGCTAATTAGCAAATTTGATGCTCCAAATCTTTTAACTTTAACAGGCTAATTAGCCTGGAAGCAATGCAATGTATTCTGAAGTCATCAGAGAGCCGAACATCAGGGGAGGTTTTTGTCCACCAATCAAGTTCTTAGCATTAAGTACATAATGAAAGGTTTTATAAACGGAGAATTAGTCTGTGGACTAGATAAACTTCTTAAAGTCATGTCTTTTAAAGTAAACAAAACTCTCTGAAGACTAAAAAATATGTATCCCCCTACCTCTGTTTGGTATCATCCTGAAACATTTTCCCCATCCACTGCCATTAATGCTCAAGCCTGTCTGGTGTTTTGTCTGTTTAACCCATTACAGATCCTGTGCACAGTTTTTTTTGTGTGTGTATCATTCAGGACAGTACGATGAACATCAGCTCGCACAGATTTGGTTTAAATCACAGAGTTGCAATCAGTGACTGTTTTGAAAACTTGCTGGTATGCTGAAGTGCTTGTGGGGAAACTCCTTTGAGTCAGCTGTTGAGCCCTTATACTGGGAGATATAACATGATGAGCCCTTTTACCACCTTCCTGTTGACTTATTGTTTCTCCTGTGGGCTTGATTTTTTTAATGGCAAAGCTTTTCACACCTCACTCAAATACCTGAATGTCAGAGCTTCCATAAACACAGTGGCTAAGTTTTCACTTATGGATACTATCTCAAATTGCAAGTTGTGAATGGCTGCAAAATTGTTATTTTGCACTAAAATGACATGCGGACATTAGAAACACTTGATTTCAGCTTTGCTTTATTTTTTCACAAAGTACATTTAGAGTTGGAATTAGCAGGAGTCCATGATGCGTCTGATGGAGCTGAACCTGGTCATGTTGTTCATCCCCATCTCCCGGAGGTTCCTGTACTCTCCTGGCTTGAGGTACAGCATCCTGCCTCTGTAGTTGGGCTGCTCGAACATCAGCCAGTGGCCGTCCATCACGTTGCAGGACTGGCAGTCGGACATGCGGAAGCGATCCATCATGTTGTCGCAGTCATTGTCCATCAGCTCGTGCATCTGGCCCCCGAAGTTCTCCCTCTCATAGATCCTCATTCGGAAGGGTCCCCTGTGCTGTGGATGAAGAAGCAGCGGGGAGATGACTGTGAGACTGGTGTATGGAAGCATTATTATCTCATTGTTTCGAGATAATTATCATGAGAAAACAACTGCAATGATAACATGATAATTACTTGGGGATCTTGGGATAAGAGAGACTGCAAAATGTATATTAAAATAAAATAAAATATAATATTTATTTGGTAAAACTAGACCATCTGTAAAACTGCCATAGGATCAAAATCACACGCTGGTGTCCGATCTATGAAATGGTGCAGTAAAAAAATTCTATAACAGAAAAGAGAAAGAGCAAGTCTAAATTATTCTAAAAATTATCACCGAATAGTCATGTTGTTACACGTTTTATATATTTTATATATATATATATATATATATATATATATTTTTATAAGTGTACTTTCACTACCCATTTTGAGCTGGCAGCAGCCTTGCACAAATACAGTTTATGTCAGAAACATTTGCACCTAATTCTGAACTGAATTTTCCAGGAGCTTTTAGCAGTCTTCAGTGAATGGGACCTGCTCGGGTCGTGTTTGTGTCACTGAAGTTCAGTGCTCTGGCACTCGGTGATGACACACGAGCAGGTTCCATTTGCTGAAAAAGGATGCGAGATATGGTCAAAAGCTCTGGAAAATGCGGAGTGGCCCTCGATTTTATGTTATTGCAGATATGGTTTGCCTTTTTGCATTTGCTCAACTTACACATTTGCACTGTTGACCAATAGAAATGTCAGTGTGTTAAATCTAATGCAGTGCGATAGAGATGTACTGCAGGTCTTTTTTAAAGTTGTTGTCATCGGTGCAGCAGCTTTCTAGTTCTGTCTAGAATTGCAACTATGTAACTGCGACTGTTTGTGTCAAACTCGTCCACCTACCGTGGGGATCATGCGACAGGATCTGATGCAGTCGCTCATGCTGGTTCCCATCAGGCGCTGGTTGTCTGGATACTCGCCCCTCCTAGCCAGCATCTGATGGCCCATGAAGTTGGGCTTCTCATAGACCATGAAGAGGCCGCTCTCCACCCTGCAGGAGTTACACCTGCTCAGGTAGGAGGTGAGCTCAGGGCAGTCGCTGCTGGTCTCATAGGAGCGACCCTGGAAGTTCCTGTCCTCGTAGAATATGATCTGCAAACAACAATGTAAACTGTGCCTCAAACAAATATCTCAATGTCTTGTTTGATGTTTTCCAAGTCCACTACATTATAAATAAATATCATCATGAATTAATTTTTACTAAAAAATCTTTTGAAAGTTTCACTTACCCTTCCCATGGTCATGATTTTTGTGAGCTGATCTCAGATGTACAGTTTCAACGTCGACCCATTTCCCTTTTTATACATTGCACAGCCGTCGTGTTTCCACATGACTTGTGCTGAAACCTTTGAGTCATCACTCTATATTGTGGCACAGAGCAGCAGTATAGAGTGGGCAGACTTTACTGGGACAGAATCTGCAACAGTTATTGAGGATTGAATATTGGGTTCTATGCTTGTTTCCAGCAACTTCAACATTTTTAACTCTGCAAAAAAGCCTTCTGTAAAAATCTACATGGTGAGAATATCAGATCTAAAGATAAGAGTGAACTTTGTCATAACACTAACGGCATTCAACAAATTGCGAGAAACACTGTAGAATCCACAGAACAACAATGTTTTGGCCTTGTATCATTTGAAAATTGCAATTAATAATACGTCATTTGAAGAACATTTGGCTTTTTCCATGACCTGACATGACCTCCCTGTTATGCATTCAACATACAATAATGACTATTGAGGTGTGTTGTAAAAAGAAAAAATGAATGCAGGCCCACGTGAACCTCATGATGAGTCATGATGTTTCACACAAAGGTGTGCAAGGTAGTCTGCTGCTGATAGTCTATATAAACGTGACGCTGGGTTGGCAGCATTTGTAAAAACTAAAACCGTCAACATGGGCAGGGTAATATTCATCATATATTTGTATAATGTTAAAAAAAAAATTACAGTATGATGCAAACTGTTGTGAAACTGCATTGTAACAGAAAGCCTTTTCCATCCAAGTGATGAATCTTACAAGAGTCTCATTGTGGGATATTGACATCTAACAACTGTACATTTCCTGTATGTTTTTCGCTGCAGATTATTTTCTACGAGGAGAGGAACTTCCAGGGTCGTTCCTATGAGTGCAACAGTGACTGCTCCGACATCCACATGCACCTGAACCGCTGCAACTCCTGCAGGGTGGACAACGGGTGCTTTGTGGTGTACGACCGCCCCAGCTACATGGGTAATCAGGTCTTCTTGAGGAGAGGGGAGTATTCTGACTTTCAGCGCATGGGGAGCATGATGGGAATGATGGGCATGGCTATGATGGATACTGTTCGCTCCTGTCGCATGGTCCCAATGGTAAGACATTTGTGTACAACTTGCTATCGCAGTCTGGTTGGTTGTTAGTCTCCTCTTCCAAGACACTGGGTTTGAATTAGACATTCGTGGCCTTTGTGGAGTTCTGATGGGCCTGGATTTCTTGTTACATTCTTGGTTCTTAGTTTATAAAATGGAAACCTTAAATTTCCTGTGATAGATTGAAGGACCCTGCCTTCTTTGGCCAAAGGATTTTTGTTCCAGAACAAGAGAGGTGGTCTAGAAAATGTGTATGCTATAATGTCTCGTCTTCCTCCAACAGCACAGGGGACAGTTCAGGATGAGGATCTATGAAAGGGAGAACTTCACAGGCCAGATGCACGAGCTGATGGACGACTGCGAGTCTCTCCAGGAGCGCTTTTACATGTCCGACTGCCAGTCCTGCAATGTGATGGACGGCCACTGGCTGATGTTTGAGCAGCCCAACTACAGAGGACGCATGACCTACGTGAGGCCGGGAGAGTACAGGAACCTCCGGGAGATGGGAATGAGCAACATGACGAGGATCAGCTCCATCAGACGCATCATGGATGTGTGCTGATTGCCATTCATTATGAGAAACTGTGGGTCACAAATAAACCATATTTCGAAGTATCTCTTTTGCTTTTCTTTGTGTGGAGTACTGCAACTGCAGCACCATTTTAATTCCTCAATAAAGCCATTGAATTATATAGCCGGGAATGCTAGTGCATCCAGTAAATTGTACATACTGTGCTCTGTGCACTTTGGCAGTCGATTCTGAGTGTTTGGATGGTTGATAACCCCCCCCCCCAAAAAAAAAAACTTTCAACAGCATGATTACAACTGCTCTTATCCAATAGAACTGATGCTCCATAATGCTGCTGCTGTTGCTACACTGGTTGTAGTATGTCACTCGCAGCCAAGTGAAGTGAGCACTAAAACATCATGAAGGTATTACCAAGACTGTCCATTGTAAACATCCATTACAAGCCATTATATCACAGCACTACAGAGTCATTTTGTGTACATAGTTTTGCAGTGGACAATATACCATAATATATTAATCATAATATAATAATAATAGATATTTGGGTGCATTTCACCTTTGCCAAAACTAAAAAGACAAGAATAATAAGGTACCGTTTTGTCTTAGTAAATATCATTATTCTGTATCATAGTCGGTTTCTGGTTCAATCTCCAGTGCTGATACTTAGTGTCGCTGGAGATGGACAGCACTTCACTGGAACCACTAGTAAATGTAACAACAACATAGTGATGAGGTTTCAGGTTCTGTAGTCTTACCAGTTAGTGGAGCTAAAAATGCTACGTTTGCCCTGAGGGTAGTGCTAAAGGAAAGGCAATGGGGTTTTTAAAATTAAAAGCTTGAAACTCCTTCAGAACATGAACGTACTCAGCAAACTGCACATTCGATTATGAGCTACCCGGTGTACAAAGTTAACGTTATGTCCAGAGGGAAGCTTGTGAGTTTCCACAGTAGAATATTGTCAGCTGTTGGGCATAGTGAACCACATTAGACTTTGTAAAATGGGAAATTTTGGCTTCATGGTGACACAAGAGAAAAGATCTGGGGGCACTAAAATATTAGGCAAGGGTGATATTTAAGCAGACAAAGAGAACACTATAAATACTGATCTTTGCATACAGATCCTAAAAGCAAGGCGATGCTCATTTGGTGGTAATTACCAGTAATGGAGGAAGTATGGAAGCATGAAAGTCAGGGAACTGACTACACAGCAATATCTATCAAAATGTTTTTATTACATTAGCCAGCCACCATAAGGTCATACCACGCAGAGTGAGGCTGTAGCAGCAGAAATCCTGAGTGCAATGACAAGAGGAAATGTGTGTTTCATTGCATCTACTTTTCATTTGCAAGAGGAGGATTGTATTAGGCCTATATTTTCTTCCTAAAATTACATATTTTATCTTTCAATCAAGGTATTTAACTCAATCTTGCATATGTCTAGATGTCAATCTGTTATATATGGTTCTAGAAACAGATGTCCTATAATGAAAATGATGGCACAAAACAACAAAAGTAATGCACTAACTAGAATTTGCTTTGTTATTGTAAAATCCACATCACTACTGTTTAATCACTACTGACTGCAGTGTTCACAGCTTTGATGTATAAAACCGTAGGGACTTCCATGCTGATAAGCTGACTCAGTTATTTCATACAATTGAGGGGGCAGATTCTTTTCATGTCACATGATGCATAAAAGGCAGTGCACCAGTGAGATGAACAACAGAAATCAAATAGCTTGACCATGAGTGGAAAGGTAATGAAGGGTGCAGGACACAGAAACTAACTGATAAATATACTGCCTCAAGCTCAATAATATTATGTACCAAAATACTGCAGCAAATAACATCTGCCATGCAACACTGTTTCTGTTACTGTTGCGACAAACATAGCACTTTCTTGTATGTTTTGCTCTGGAGATTTTTCTAACGTTGGACCCAAACACAATCTGTGTCTTTCTCTCTAGATCATCTTCTTCGAGGAGAGGAACTTCCAGGGCCGCTCGTATGAATGCCTCAGCGACTGCTCTGAGATCGCCTCTCACCTGAGTCGATGCAGCTCCTGCAGGGTGGAGAGTGGGACTTTCATGGTCTATGACCAGCCCAACTACACTGGGTTGCAGTACCTCCTGACCACGGGAGAGTATCCCGAGTATCAGAACACCATCGGCTTCAATGACTGCATTCAGTCCTGCCGCATTGTCCCTGTGGTAAATATGAGTATGATATTGCCAACCAAAATATAAAAAGTATGTACTGTAGTATAGATAGATATGTACATGGTTTGACTCACCAGAATGAGATGAGAAGAGAGACAGTGTGTCTTGGATGTGTTCAGACATGCATAGCACAGACACTAGAAGCAGAATTTAAAAATTTAATTCAAGCTAGGGAGTTAATTTTTTAGTGTTAAGCAGCTACCGATGAGTTGCAATTCTATACTGTACATTCCTAAACAGGACAACTTTTGAGATATAGAGGAAACTTTCAGATGAAACTGAAACTGAGTTTCTCATTTTCACTACTTTTTCCCACAGTTTTCTCATGTATCTCATTCTATTTGTTATGTGTTCTTTTTACAGCACAAGGGACCCTTTAAGTTGAGGATCTACGAGAGACCAAACTTCGAAGGCCAGATGCATGAACTGACTAATGACTGTGACTCCATCCAGGATCATTATCACATGTCTGACATGCAGTCCTGCAACGTGATGGAAGGCTACTGGCTGATGTTCGAGCAGCCAAACTTCGAGGGCAGGATGTTTTACCTGAGGCCAGGAGAGTACAGGAACCTCAGAGAGATGAGCAGTGATGACCTGAGGTTCAACTCAATCAGACGCATCACAGAATCTTAACTGTCTCATGACTTATATTTAGCTAAGAAGTTTTGCAGATGCTTTGTTTTATTAATATAAACAAGTTGTCAAAGTGAGAGGCAAAAAGAAAAAGCCTTGTTTTTATCCTGAAACTGTGATTTGTGCATTGTTTGCATGTAGTTCCAGTTGTACTGTGCAATCCAGCCACGATGAATTTACCTCTTTTACTGTGTGACGCGCACAATAAAATGATTTGCAGCATATCTTTGTGAATTATTTCTGAACACAATTTCAATAATTGACTTGCCCAATTGGTTGTATTCAGTTTCATGAATAGATAAGCATATAGTTTATTCCATGTGTCCCCATATATCCACTCATGCAATACTAAACGTGAGGTTATTTTCCTGAAACTAAAATCCAAATACAAACATGGGGTGAAAGTGTATAGAGCCAATTTACAGAACCCCAAATATATAACATCACAAACACAACTATACATCACCAAGAGAATATTGCTTTATATTTCAGGTAACACTAACCCCCCCCCCCGCTCAGTATTTTTGCAGGTAATAATCAGAAACTGTACAAAAAATATGCACTACAACATGTCTATTGTAAGGAAAATTAAGTAACTTAAATGCGGATATTTACCAATATTTCATACATTTTTGTTGAAGCAATTAAAAATGCTGCATTCATATTTGCAGAGGTTTACATGCACCCAATTCCACTGTTGTAATTACAGTAGGAAAAGCAATTGAAACGGGGAGTTCCTCATAATAACGACCATCACACAACAACAACACCGCCTCCATGTCGTCTACAGTTTCCACTGTACTGAATACCAGCACTAACACTTCACTATTAACATCAACCACAGTAACAACTACAGATTATGCCATATAACTGACAATTTATAGACAGTACACAAAGTATATAAACAAGGCCAATTATGACATTTTAAGCTGTTTTTGCTCCATACATCTATGAGGTATGGGGTTTCTGCGATGTAATATAAAATATAAAAGATTTATAGACAGTTTAAAAAGGTAGTTTACTTTAAGTGCACACTGTGTAAAAGACATGCATCGGCCCATACTGCATGTGCTTGTGTCTACATTAGGCAATGCTGCTTTTAAGCATGTGATGGCATCAATCATTCATCCACGTGTACTGCAGAACATATACTACACTGATTAGTTTGCAGGTGTTTTAACCAGACAGAATCCACATAATATGTTAAATTTGTCAAGACAGAATTTACTTCAATTAAATGTCTTGATCCACGTGCTGTTAATAGCCGTTTACACTTGATGCTGCTGCTGCTCTGAGTTTAAGATCTGTCACGTGCAGACTCTACTGAAATAACATTCTAGAGCTTAGTCCATAGAATATATCAACAATATGGGTGATTGAAGCCAAACAAAAGCAAAACTGAAAGAACTAGAATCTCTGTAAAACAAGTTGTTGCTGACATAAAGAAAACAATGTTTTCTGATTAGTAAATCTTATAAAAGGTGCTGCCGTGTGTAGAGGAAAAGGCAGTGGTTGTGTTCACTTCACAGGACAGGAAAGTGGCATCATGTTGAATATTCAAAAGAACATTTGCACTGTTCAAGTCAAAATGTGTCATGAAACATAAAAAAGGAATGCGAACCAAGGCCCGCATCTTTGGTTGTATTCTCACTGTTGTGACAGAATCATTACAGCCTTGGCCATACAGTATATCCAGTGCCTCAATCACCTGCACTAACAGGGATTTCACATGTTGTATAATATTTTGTGTTCTGTTGCACTAAGATACTAAAGATATATGTTAACTGGAGATGGAGAAATTAACTTTGTAACTAAATAAATGAGCTTCTCTCTTATATCGTCTATGTTCAAATTCAACCGCAAAAGTCATAAATACACAAGTTCATTAAAGTCCCAGATTTATTGACGTTATTCTATACATATTTTTTAGTTTCTTTGTACATTCAGTGAGTGTTCCATCACTAACCAGAGCAAATTCAATGGGTAAACCTCTGCTGAAAGGAAAAAAGCTGATTTGCTTTGTTGACCACGCAAAACAAAAAAAGTTGTTCTGCCAGAAAAAGCTGACGAGCCCAGTCATTGTTCTGTATCACAATGACACAGGTCATCCATGGGTTATAAAGGCAGCGTGGAGCCCTCGGCTGCTGCTACAGTGTGACCAAGGTTAGCCGACACAATGGGCAAGGTAAGGCTGCTTTTTTGCTCTGTGGTTTTTGTGCTTCTGCATACCTGCGAGGATTACTCAGCCGAAAGTGGTGAACTGGAAGCATGTTTTTTAGGTGGTACAGTATGCATATTTTCCTTAACTTGAACCAACAATGAGCTAAAATTAGAAACATCCCTCGAATGATATGTTTCCAGATTATCTTCTACGAGGACAGGAACTTCCAGGGTCGCTCCTATGAGTGCAGCAGCGAATGCTCTGACCTGCACTCCCACTTCAGCCGCTGCAACTCTATCAGAGTGGACAGCGGTGACTGGATGGTCTATGAGAGACCCAACTACATGGGCTACCAGTACTTCCTGAGGAAGGGCGACTATCCAGACTACCAGCGCTGGATGGGATTCAACGACTGTGTGCGCTCCTGCCGTATGATCCCCATGGTAAGCCTCCGTTGGGCATTTTTAAAGTTTCTTTTAATATTTTTCACTGTTCTAGAGGCAATTATATGACCTCATCTTTTATGCAGCACCAAGGCTCTCACAAAATGATGATCTACGAGCGCCCAGAGTTCGGAGGCCAGATGATGGAGCTGACTGATGACTGCCCCTCCCTGTACGAACGCTTCCATTTCAATGACATCTACTCCTGCAACGTGATGGACGGCTACTGGATCTTCTACGAACACCCCCATTACAGGGGACGCCAGTACCTGATGCGCCCTGGCGAATACAGGAGGTTCAATGAGTGGGGAAGCATGAGTCCCAGGGTGGGATCCATCAGACGCATCACTATGTGAGAAAATCTGATGTTTGCACACTGTTTATGTGAAGTACAGACAATAAAGTACTGTCAATAAATTTATCCAATAGTTCTATCTGCTTCTGTTTTATTGAGGCTCTTCGAGATGTTCAGTGCTTTGAAAGTGGAGAAATCAGAACATGAGGGTTTAGACTAATAGTGTAAAACAAAACCTTCCAGACTATTATTTTAAGACTATTATTTCATGGGTGGATCACACGTTAGGGGAAAGGGACTAAAACACAAACACATAAGTACAGAGGCGCATACACACAGTTTAAGCCCAGCATGTTTATTGAGAACAGAGAGAGGAAGAAGGTTCAGAAGACTTCTAGTTGAAGTCAGTGATTCGCCTGAGTGAGCCGATCCTTGGACTGGCACCGCCCCAGTCACTGTATCTGCGGTATTCGCCGGGTCGCAGGTAGTAGGTTCTCCCCTTGTAGTTGGGCTGGTCGTACAGCAGCCAGTGGCCGTCGACCACATTGCATGAATTAATGTCAGACATACGGAGGCGGTCCTGGACGTTGGGGCAATCGTCGCTCACCTCCTGCATTTGGCCGGCCATATCTGGACGCTCGTACAATCTTATTTTGTAGGAACCGCGATGCTGCACAAAGAAAAAAATGTATGAGTCAAACTGTTTTAGTTTTGTTTCATTTTTGTGTTGTACTGTCGTATTTTTGGGTGATTGTGAACATGTGAAATTCATGAATAGTCCCTAAGTGTAAATACCCAATTATCTAATACTATTTGCAGGTTAACACATACAGTTATACAAAGACTGGTTTGCAAAAGTAGTCTTGACCAGAAGTTCTTCCTCAGCCTAGAGTTTCAGTTTAAGCTTCATGGAGTACCAGATGGGCGGAGTTTAACCAGCCTGATCTAAGCTCATCTTCCACCATAGCTCATGATATTTTTGCTCTGGGGGATTTCAATCAAACGTGAGTTTTTGAAGATTATGTCTCAAAAGTCTCTCAGTGTTAAGACTTTGACAATCTTTAAGGTAAGCATACTATTAGCTACTTTTCATGTTCATTACAGACATCTATTACTGAGTTTTTTTCCCAAATGTTGTGTAAGTTTAGTTTGATACATACAGATTTACATTCAATATATTTATGTAAACCTCCTGATATCTGTTGACATCCATTATCTTTTCATGTAGATTGTAATTGCATATTCCTCCGTACTCTTTCTGTACCAGCTGGATGAGGCTTACCATGGGAATCATGCGGCAGGAGCGGATGCAGTCGTTAATGCCGATCATGCGCTGGTTGTCGGAGTATTCCCCCCTGCGAAGGAAGTACTGGTGGCCCAGGTAGTTGGGTCTCTCATACACCATGAAGCAGCCGCTCTCCACCCGGATGGAGTTGCAGCGGTTGAAGTAGGGGTGCAGGTCGGCACAGTCGCTCATGCACTCATGGTGCCGACCCTGGAAATTTCTGTCCTCGTAGAATATGATCTGCAAATTTATAACATAAATATATATATATATATATATAATATCTGCATTTATTAATTATTAACTCCAAAGCTTACATGTTTCCATTCTGTATTTTCAGTAGCAACACATAATAAGCTTACCTTTCCCATTGTTATTTTAGTGGGGGCCAGATGGATGCTCAATAGACGCTCTCTGTACCGCTGTCCTTTTATATAGTTACTGTGTGATGGCACAGCATAAAGTATTGTCATCCAAATAGGTTTCATAACACAAATCTGGTTATGTATAGCGATGCACCAAAGTGTGATGAGTTATTGTTGTCCTGTTTTCCCCATGTTCATCACTATTCATCAAAACACCACAGTGTGAGAGTGACCCTGGGGTCACTGTTCACAGTATCAGCAAAACAACAGGCGTCATTTGTGTCCTTTTCACTCAAAAAGATTGCTAACACTATATGCCAGGGCCAGAACGTGCCTCAACCGCTACCATGTCACACACATACATAAATAAAGAGTATATTATCTGTTACGTTAACACGTTATAAAAATGTAAGAGGCTGCAAATTATTATTAAACCATATAGGATTATTTCAGATGAAAAGATAAATTAATTTATCCCTCAGGCTGCTTGTATTTTATGCACTTTTATCCATATTTACTACAGTGAATCTCAGAAAATAATGTGTCATTCTCTTGGTGTTCAATTTTTTTGCAAGATATGTGAATAGCATAAAACAACCAGTCGACCACTGGTCCAGGCTGAATGTTGCTACAACTATTAGGTTGAGTGCAATGAAATTTAGTAGACATTCATGTTTCTCGCAGGATGAATTTTGATCCTAACTTTCCTTGCACCATAAGGAAAAATTATCATTGATGACCAAATAATGACATTTCCATCCGCCTTAGCTATGCTTTGTGGTTAGTGATAAATAGCAAATGCTAGCATGCTATTAAGCACTAACTTAGCAATTTCATTATACCTGCTTTAACACTGACAACATTAACATCAGCATGAGCAATGCAGTTGTGAGCATGTAAGCTTGCTGACTAGCAATTAGCTCAAAGCTCTGCAGAGACTTGCTAGCTTGTGTTCGCTCACAGAAACTCACCAATCACTGCTAATATTCAATGTGTATTTTTATGCCTATTACCACAGCATTTAGAGCCCAAGCTACCGTTATTTTGTACTCTAATTTCTCTTGATCAGGTGGGCCTGAAGTAATTACATAATATACAGTAGCAGGCAAATGCACTGTAAACAGACCACGCACTTCATCACCTTAAAGAGCTCAACAATTAGTAATAAATGAATGGCTAAACTTGCTTACTAGCAAGCTGAGAGACTGAAGTGGTGCGGATTGCTTTCCCTTCACTACACCTGCTGTTCTTGCAAGGTGGACAAGGGCCCTTGAACATAACTTTATTTGCTGTTTCTGGGCTCCAAGTGAGGTGTTTTCAGGGGGCCCAGAAGCTACTGAGGATGCGACAAGAAATAGATTTTTCTTCTTTCAGCATCCGTGATATCTGGCAAAAAATGAGCATGATACATGTTTGGATTGCTGAAATTGCACTAAGCTTTATGAAGGACATTTGCGAAATTGAAATAAAAATTAGTTATATATGTTTGCATGTCAATAAGCAGCCTATTTTAATTTTAATTTTTAGTCTTTGAGGTACAGGTTTTTGACGTAGAGGCTTTTGGAATAATGCTGTACATTACAGTCCACTATTACACACATATGAAAGGTTACTCTCAATTTTCTCGAAACTATTTCTGCTTTAAAGAAAGGTAAAACTCCATAAAATATGAAAAGTTACTCGAAACAGTATCAAGCTCATCATGCACAGACAGCTGACACAGAGACACAGTGCTGTTTTATAAACCTCAATCCAAGGTCATGAGATTCAGTCTTTTGTCATTCTAATGAGCAGGCATTTGGTGCTTTTGCTACCCTGCCAAGATTTTGATGCCATTCATATAGATAAAAAACCCTGATTCATCAAAGCCAAGGGTCTGGTCCAATACTGCCCCCGACTCTTGTTATACCATTGGATGCCCACATAAATACATCTCAGTGTTTCTACTGCTTCAGTTAATCATGATAAGGGTTACACTTTATCCTATAAACAAATCTATCTGCATCAGAAGATGGTAAAACATGGAAGAGCAATGGTGACCTAATAAAACTGAAGTCACTATCTGGCTTGCTAGCAGCACTGTTGATCAGTGTTGCAGTGTTTCTGTTATACTGTATATACACACAGGAAATGTAGTAACAGGAAGTGACACAGGGTGACACCTGGTCAAGAGGGAGAGAGAGAGAGAAGAAAAAGAAAGGTAGATTTAACTAGTGAACATTAGTATTCAGCATTTCTGGAGTATGACCCATAAAGTTCAGGGTATCCCGGCCTCTGCTGGCTTGATTTTGACCATTCTTTTTAAATCTCTGAGTCTTCCAACCTTCTGGAAATGCAAGACTACATCACTTGAGTACTCCTTAAAATTGTTATATGTATTTTCTTCCCTTCCTGGCAGCCTCTGGTTTCCATTCACTAACATAAAGCCAATCAATCACTAATATAGAACTGTTGCATGTGAATGCAAAACACAGCCACTACACCAAGGGAAACATTTATTTCCATTCAAGAACTGGAAACAAAAATAATGTCTGTAAAACAAAACGTGATTGGTGGTCATATGATACCACCAATATACAGAGCTCAATATGTACTACATAGATATATCTATTCAACAGAGCATAAACAAATCACAAAAATATTTTAGATTAGGTTATTATTTGGTTATACAAAAAGCCTTCTGCTTTCAATAGTAGAAAAATGCCCCAAGACAAAATGTAGTTAAATTCAATAAGACAAATAGTAATGTCATAAAAGCACACTGAAAATTTCAAGTGTATTCCTGCAGGTGTAAAAAGACTTTAGGGTACATTTGACCTGAATTATAGGCACACATAAATCTAAATGACAGGGGAATTTCTAGGAGTGAGAACTAGTGAATAGAGTAAAAGTTTTGCAATAAAATGTGTATGGGAAATAGTTTACAGTAACATTCATCATTTAAATTGAATATACTTTATATTCAATTAAAGGCAGGCTTGTGTAACATTTGGAAACAGCCCGTTTGAACTCAACAACGCAACCTGAGATTCCAGAACATGAGCACAACAACTTTGTAACACATTTAAAGTAAGTGATTTAAGTAAGTGAACTAATTCACACTGACAAATGACATTGAGCACAATGCAAATGTCAGCAATACACCAAATTGATTAACTCACTCGAAACATTTTATGTGCTTACAAATCTGTCTCTGCATGCTTAAATATCATAACCTGCTCAAATGTGTTTAATGCTTCTTACATAGTTTTGTCTGCCAAACTTCAATATCTATATTTCCAATTATAATCAATATTTATGATTCCTGAAAAACAAAACTGCTAACATACAGCTAACAACCTAACAGCCTACTTTATATAGACTATACTAAATTGTCATGTTGCTGTTACTGTACATCTGTACTATTTCAACAATACACCTTCCTATTGCTGGTTTTATATTATTATTAAACCAATTAAGAGTTGGTTTCAAACAGATACAGGCCAGTAATGTAACAATACTGCAGACAAATTTCTTCACATCATCAAACTGAAAAATGGTAGAAAACAATGTTTTTAAGCGCTGCTCTAACATTAATTAGCTGAAGACCAATTATACAGTGGATCCTGAGACGTCCCAACACTGATGAAGCCAAAAAGAGGCTCATCAAGAGCATCCTAATACTGTTAGGATTGACTCATTGAACATATACCCTCATGTTAAATAAACATTGTTGCCTTCCAAATATCCAGAGGACGCATTACATAGCCCCTTTATACAATAAAATAAGAGAAAGAACTGACATGGTAAGAATAAAAAAAAAAAAAAAAATTTTCTCAGCTACATCATTGTGCTTGTGTATATGTAGTTAGGAGTTTTCTGCTATCACAAAAACACAATGAAAAGGACAAAACAAGGCTTCAAGTTATGCTAAATCAAATTGGAAAGTCTGTAGATCTGAGCTTTAAAGTACTGTTCACAGATGTTTTTTTGTTTAGTTTATGTAAATAATAGAAATGTAAATAATATAATTAGAAATTTTCTACCCAGTTTTTAAAAAAGGTATTTGCTCAATATTGTACATTGATATGGTTTACAGCTACTATGAATTTAATTAAAAAAAGATTTTTTTGGTGGCATAAGCTATTCAGTTTTCAGCTTTTCACAATCAAATTTAACTTTGATATTTTTGGGAAAAGCAAAGATACTGTATTAAACCATCAGAAACAGAAACAGATCTGGGTGCTGCCAGTCTAGTAAGGCCTACAAGGTGTGAGCTTACCTTGGCTTTGTTTGGTGTTGTAAGGCGTGGGTTAAACAGTCGATAGATTATATATGTTAATTCCATGGAGGAGGACGAGCAACTGACATGACAGGTTGTGGTGCTCTGTGGGATTTAGCCTACATGAGAGGATGGGTGCTGTGAAACATGGAGACGTCTGGTGGCTCTGTTGCTTCTGGCAGGTAGTGATAGTCTTTGTGGTGGACGTGTCTGTGGTACTTTGGCTTCAGGTGGATCCGCGAGTGTGGAAACATCAGATTCTGTAGAGAAAAAAGGTGACCTTAAGACTCAGTGAAGGTTTGCACAAACAGAAAAGGAATACTAGAAGAGAAACAGTGGTCCAGTCCAGAATACAGGCAGTCAGCCACACTTGTCATTAACACTGAACAATCACAACATGTGGTTTTGCGGCGTTTCCCCTCTATGCACAGCTTAGTTATATATAGTAAAAAATGCCTTTTACCTTTCCAGGGTCGTGTTGCAGAACAATGGGTGCCATTCCTTCTGTTCTCTGAGGATACAGTTGGTAGAGCTGCTGCACTGTGGGCTCTACAAACTGCAGAAGTAGAACAGGCTGAAGTCAGCTCCAGTTCAGAACAAGTTTACTAAACACTCAGAAAACCAGCAGAATCACACTGAAACATTTTATTGTATTTAAAATGTACACTATTACACATCCAATCTGAACAGGATCTAGCTTGTTAAAATCATACAAATGCTACAACATTTAACCATGAGCTCAATAGATGTCTCTCCACCAATAAACCGTTTGTCTTCCAATAAGTTAAAAGAGCAAATCTTTTACCAAAGAATTACCATGGGAGCAGAATCACAGTCGTCCTTTCATGTCTGTTTTTATATTTTTATTTTTCTTGGTGATGTACCTCTGTTGTGGTGTCCTCCATGACAGGCAGAGAAGGCTGGACACAGCCTCCATCAACGGGCTGGTACAGATGTTCTGGCTGCTGGGAGTACATGACTGGACTGGAGGGGATCGGCGACTGGACAACAAGACATTGACGACAGGTGAACAACGGGTTCACCAGAGCAAAAAAGAAGGTACTGCTTTATTTTGCTTACCTGGGCGACGGTCCACTGATACTGGTTTGGGACACACTGGGGAGGCAGAATAAAAGCAGACTGTTCAAACCCCTGCTGTACTCGGTAAATGGTGACATGGTGAGAAATCAATGGATCACTAAACGGGCTTAGCTGACCTGGTTGTGGTGATAGGCTGGTTGCTGGTAGACAGGCTGAGACTGAGGGAGTATCACTGGAGGAGAAGGCTGCAAGAGAAGAAGAATACTTACATCAGACATTTCCTACGTAGTGCGCAGGATCTGGTAGTTCAAGTCTTTAGTATCTTATGTCTATGTTTACTGCAGTTATGTTATATCGGCTAATTTCTATTGTGTATTGCTAAACTTCTTATTAGTACTACTGCTATTAAGCTACTGGATGATTATACAAATATAACCTTACCAGTGTCCTAAAATTAAAGCAATTAATGCTGAGTTTAGAAAAAAAACTTGCAGAGTGGGACAGAGTATTATGATGTATTCAAATGACATACATATTTTTAAATGAACAGTCCTTTAATATTTCTATTGAAGTCAAGTGTTATTTGGGTGTGATATAGAGAGAACTGACAGGCCAGTGGTGGGCAGGAGGGTTCATGTTGGGGCAGTGGAAGTAGGCCACTCCGTTGTGGTAGGTGTAGGGATAGCCTGTGGATGTGGTCAAGGAGAGGGACCCACAGGACATTGGCAGAGGCATTGCAGGGTCGGGGCTGGCCACATGGACACTTTTAACTGGGAAAAGTAGGAAACCACACAATATAAACATTTCAAAAACAAATATGTCACCTTACGGGTCCGGAGGGGCCAGTATTTGGTTAGCTTTAAAAATTGACTTAATTATTCAATTCAGGGTACTTGTTGTGGTTCTGATGAAGAAGCATTTCCATTCATTTTTTTGCTATATCAGTAAAAAGTTACCTTGGCATTTTGGAATTGTACCAAAATCACTTTGCAGGCCATCATAAACAGTGAGTGAATTTTATTACATTTTATCATTTTATAACTGGTGAGGTAAAAGTGATACGTTGCAGCTTGGTAGTGCCACTGTGTGATCAGGGAAATGGCTCGAAACTAAACTGAATGAAAATAATTCAACCATTTGTCAAAAGGTGCTTCAGTATCAGATTGTTGACTTACTTTGTCCTGAGGCTTGCTGCTTGCGGACAGCCTGACCGATGCTGAGCCTCTTGTCTTTGAAACAGATTCCATTTGCCTTTAATATGAGTATTTGAGAGAACAGCAGTCATATTAAATGTCGAAGTGTGCTAGCTAAACTACATCATTATATGTACTTAAGATACTTTAATGGCTTGTTGTACTTACATTATGAAGGATTTTCATTGCATCTTCTTCGGTCTCAAATGTAACAAACCCATATCTGTCCAAAGAGGTAGAATCAAGACAAACTATGTTTCAGCTGGCTAACAGTAAATCTGTGAATAATGATCAGAGTCAAAGGACAGAAAACCATGGCTGCATGTATTATTTATCAGTCAATGTCTGTATATGACAGGAATGATACGATCAACTCACCCTTTTGACACTCCTAAACGATCCGTTATAATCTTCACCTCTTTCACTACACCATGTTGAGAGAAGAAATGTCGCAGGTCGCTCTCATTAACCTTCATAAACACAAACACCACACACACAATTTCACATCACTTCAGATCATTTATAACAGCCAACAGTACTTGTGTGCACCAATAAGCATCAGGAGGCATCTGTGATAGTTATACAGGTTCTTTTTTGGGTGCACCTCACTGCACATTTTAGACAAATTGAACAGTAAATATTGGAAAATTGACTATCATTCAGGCTGCATCTGAACAATAGAGAGTTGATTGTTTTACATATTAACAGTCAAAAATCTATTTCTGGAGGAATTTGGTGTTATTGCTGACTAAAAGTAGGCCTACTGTGAATTCTGTTCACTCTCAGGCCACTCTGTCATCCTGACCTTAGCTTATTTATATGATTTGCTGCTCTCTAGTGTCTACCTTTCTACAGTAAGACAAGCCCAAACAGACACATTGCAGGTGCAAATTTGCAGCTCTCACCTTGTAGTCAAGCCCCCCAACAAAAATACGATTGGGGATAACAGTGCCGAGGTGGAAGGTGTGGTGGGTCGGGCTGTCAGTGCGGTGAGTATGGCCGTCAGCATGGTTTTCTGGAGGTAACTCATCAGGAGTGGAGGAGCTGCTGCAGGTGAATGTGAACTTGAAAAAAAAAATAATAATAAGACACTGAGGTCTAATTACTTTGTTGGCAAATAAACACTGACTATACTCAGACTGGATCTGGTGAGTGATGTGAGATAACACCTCTTCCCAACAAGGAAGTAGATGGGTACTGGGATTTCGTACTTGAGGAGTTTTTGGGTTTGGATATAAGGACACTTACTTCTGCTATTATATGTTACCAGATCAAAATAAATTACAAGCACAGCAGCATCATCCATCCTACTCGACAACATTTACTTAAAAATTCTCTTTTGTTCATCTGACTAGCAAACTACAACGCAACGGGACATGGTCAAAGTTAACGGTTTCTTCAAGGTGTGGTGGCATATTACTGCTAACTGTTCATTTCTGTACACTGTTTTTGGCAGTGATTAATATGACAAAGGGTGGTATACAATGGTGAACCTTCGTTTAACTCCACAGGTTTTGGTGAGTAAAACTGCAGATGTAATATTACTGCAACATTAGCTTTTTTGCAATCTAGCTCTGACATAACCTTGCCAATTCCATAAATAAAGTCCAATAAGCTCCAAAATATTTTGTAAAATTAAACCATAGGTGAATGACTTAATAACTACCAAGCATCACTCATTAGTTCGCCTCTTAGCTCCTTTAAATAAATTTCCAACTTTTATAAATTTAATATCTAAGAACCACTTACAAGTTACACAAGTTAGCATTTTCTAGCTCGGTTGATCTAAGTAAACGGAACTGAGTTTGGGGGAGGAGAGGGGCTCATAATGTATGATGAACTAATCTTACCATGAAGGGTTACAGTGATTAAGTAACTTTCAGAGGCCGAGGAAGTATTCACAGCTCTTACTTCAATAAAAGTAGTGACACATTGTAAAAATACTCTGTTACAAATCAAACTCAAACTAAAGTAAAACTGTATAACTATTAGCATCTAAACATAAAGTAGCAAAAGTAAAAGTACACATTATGCAGAATGGCCCATTTCAGAATACCTTACTCAAGAAAAACACAAGTACCTCAAAATTGTACGCAAGTAAAGTACTTAAATAAATGTACTTAATTACTTTTAAACACCGATTGACGTTATTTATTACCATAACATAGTTTTGCTAGCTAAAAAAGAAGCTAAAGGATAAGCTAGCAAAACGGTAAGGGCAGTTCACTCACCGCGTTTTGGTTCTCCACTTCCATAGCCACATTCATTTGGTTAAAGTCTGCCTCTGAAAACTTACACAGTTAATATTCTCAGATAAATCATTGCCTTATATTAAGATATTTGTCCAACGGTCTGACTCTTTAAACCAAAACGTACCCTTTGCTACTTGCTCTCGCGCCCCTAGCTTAATATATGACCTCATCGGTGCGCAAGTTACGTCCCTGCACGTTTCTGCCTCCAACTTCAAGGTCTAAACTTTCTTTCTTTTCTCTTTTTTAAAAAAAAAAAACATGTTATCTAGCATGGAGTTGTATCTTCAAAGGTATATTCGTCACATAATTAGTTAAATAAATATCACCTGTGTGTAGTTTGTAAAACAAGCTTCCAAGAGGTGTGGTTTATAGGCACTGTATCAGAAGATAGATATCCTGGAAATATGCATGGTTTCATAACAGTTTGGACCTCACTGATAAAAACCTGTGTGCACTTCGAGTTTGAATTTTATGAAGCAGAATTTAAATTCAAAGTCGAATCTGTACAATAGTACTCCGAGCCGGATTTGTGCAGTACTACATAGTGCCCACACGGGGGCGTCACTTCTCTTTGAATAAATATGCCACCTATCATCACAGTCTTCATGTAGTTTGTACATATCAAAATTGATAATGAAAATAAGACCTTGACAGTTTTCACAGACTGAACAGATTGTTTTTAGACATTTAGTGATGTTAAAGCTTATGCAAAGTACTTAAGGGTATGCTTACAGTTTTTTCTTTTAAAGTAATAAGCTCATTTTAATAAGACCAGCTATATAATTGATCTACAAATATTAACCACAGCAGTCAAAATGTTTAATTGTCAATGACTGAATAACTACAGTGCATGTACATTTTAGTCAGAGCTACTTTTCTTCTCTGGATCATCAAGGAGCCTCTTCAGATGTTACGTAAAATACTCATGGAGCTATAATTTCTCTATGATTGGCAATAAAGTGCTCTGACACATTGTCATTTGCATCTTATGCCCCCCACCTCTTCCTCCTCCTCCCTCAGACCACAACAAAGCGATAGTAGAAAGCCTACAAAGTGTTTCCAACAGAGAAAAAAGCACCCGATTCATAGCCAGTAATACCAGGAATGAATGAGCAACACAAAACAGGGTGAACAAAGAGTTTTGTTTTTCCTAGAACACAACCATACTACTTTGGATACATTTGCAAATCCTACATTTTTAAATCCACTTCCTCTCAATAAAAAGCTTATGACATTCAGTGTGTATATCCTGTCTGCCTGTCTTACACATTTCCCATCATTACAACCTCCTTTCTCCAGATTGTTTGTATGCATCTGAGTAATGTGGGCCACACCATTACATGTCATTTATTTCCAGCTTTTCTTAATTGCGGGGTGAATTTGCCAACAAGGTCTGACTGTGCAAAATGAGAAGGGCATGTTTGATAATTACAGCAATTTACAAGCTAAAAGTCCTTTTATACTCCACAAATATGATTTAAGACACAAGTGTTGTCAGGGCAACTTGTCTAGCTGAGTTTTCATTTAAAAACAAAAGGGATTGAAGCTGTGAATGAGGATTTTATTTTTTGGTCGCTCTTTGTATTGACTAGTTTCTAGCTTGATTCCCTTTAATATTATGTTCTTATTATATTATATTATTATTACTAATGTCTTTCTTGTGTGATCACACATGTAGAGTTCTGTGTGCATGAGTGTTTGTGCCTTTTTAATTACTGTATTTCATGATAATTTCAAATTTGAATTCACTTAGATATAATGACACAGCAAAATTTCTTCCAGTCTACATTCTTACCATTGGACACAAACCATAGAGTGTAACTAGATGTTTCAATGCAACATTTTGTTTCCAGTAATGCATTTCTTCATCTGCGCTGTTTATCTGAAATGTCACGATGTGAGTAATGTGGCTCTGAAGTGAGCTTTGTGCTGGAGGAAAAGTACCAGAGCAGTCCAGGCAACCATGTCAAACACAGAGCAACAGGACTTTGGATGTTTTTTCCTCAGAATATAGGACTCAGGTAAATCCCAATCAGCCTCAGTGTCTCAAGAGACCAGCAGTGGTGAATGTCTGGACTGTTTGACACAACTTTGACACTGAGGAAAACCCAGCTAATCTTTTATAATACCCTGCACCAAGACACAAAAAGGCAAACAATGTGTGATGTTTTCTGATCTGCCACTTATTTGGTTTGATTAGTCGGAACAAAGTACAAATGAAATGTGAAAAAAAACAAAAAAAGATTGTTCAGACAGCTGCAATTATGCACGTGAAACGGATAGCTGCTGTAGATAACTTGTAAGGGATCAGGATGTTCTATCACAGTTCATGACAGCACCATTACATCCTTACTGACAATTGTGAAGTTTGGCATTACCTGCAATTCCACACTGGACATCCCCTTCACCTAATTTAACACCAACGTGAAAAGGTTTGTTCCGCCACATTTAGACAAACTCAGCTGACCATGTTCTCACTTGGGAAGCCAGTAAGGGTTTTCTCACTTGACTCGGTGCATGCTGTTGTTCCTGTTGTGAGGATAGTTTTGTCTCGGACCCACTTCAGAGATTATACTGCATCATCTTCTCTCGAGTTTGATGACAAGTCTTTAAGTCTTGAGTGTGAGGTCAAATATCAGGTCAGATGTGCATGTCGCGCTGAGAAAACGACCATTTTACCTCAGTCGGTCAGTCAGTCAGACAGTCGTGGAGACAGAGGTTGATGAAAAATGAGCCATAACAGAAGGGTTCGACTCTGGCTCTGTAATTACTCTACAAATCTCTGATTTCCCCTCCTTCATCTCCAGACTATTTATAGCTGCTGCATTCCTCTCGGAGAATAAAATGATCTCTTTGAGACAGTACAATGCCAGAAATAACAGGTTTGGACAAACATTTGCTGAGGCGTGGTGGGCCTGGCTGACCATTACTGAGTTCCACTGTGGTTTCAGTCTACTGTTTTTCCCCCTCGTCCATTTATTCATCTGTTATTCTAAATGGCAGTGGGTTTGCTGGGGGAGGTGTGGGGGGGGCGGTTGCGAGTAAGATGTGATGGTTCAACAAAATAGCTCGTATGAGCTGAGGTGAAGTGACTTTGTAGTAGGGCAAAGCATGGCAGCAAGGCCGGCTTTTTTTTTCTTGCATGTGAGGGAGTGGGAAAAAGAAAACACATACACTCATAAACACACCTTCATGTCTGGGAATACTCAGGTGACTACAGGACTCAGACCTCCCTCTTTGGGCTCTGTTTTGTTTATGTTACAATCATAGGACTTCCCTAGTATATATGAGCAACTGAGACATGTGGCTGTGAGTGTGAATATGTGTATATGCAATCATGTGTCTGTTTAAGATGTGAGAGAAGGAAGGCTTTTCTGCTGAATGTGCCTCTGGTCAGCTTTTGCTTAATGACAAAACAAAGATCATATGTCGCCTGCGTAGCATTGTTTCTTCATATTCAACTTATTCCCAGCCCTATTCATTTTCTGCAGCACTGGGAAAATGACTGTAGATCCTTTAACCCTCGCACTGTGGACCAGATGACCCACCCAACTTAATGTATGTTATGATTTTGAGTTATAAGACCAAACTTTCTGTCAGTTTACATGGAAACTTCAGAGGAGAAGATCTAAATTATTGTTGTGTTCTTCAAAATGCATCAGCAGTCGACAGTGTCTTCAATCTTCACTGGAAATGTGTTTGCATAGCTATGAACCTGCACGCACACGTAAGGACTACTTGTTATACATGATGCCACAGATGTTAGCTTTGCTTTGCATGAAAACTGAAAGCAGATGGAAACAGCTAGCCAGTCATCCAAGTCATGGTATCTCTTAGAGCTGTATGAAGGCAACTGCTTTGCTTGAGGTTCTTGAAGACGTGTCACTTCTCATGCAAAAGGCCTCTTCAGTTCAGAAATAACTCCCCATTCATTTGGATAGGGGTCTGGCCTTGTTAGCCTGAAATATCTGCTGGGGGGTGGGGGGGGGGTATATTGTGCATGATACAAATTATTGGCATTTTCATACACAACTAGACTATTCTTGGTTATGCCCATTAAAAAAAACAACAACAAATGAAAATGAAAAAACAACATGTGTCAGTCACATTGTACCATATCAACATAACTACAGTGTGTTGTCCCCTCTCTGGCTTTCTCCAGTGGTTGTTTGTTCTTTTGTGAAAATGCTTCACCACAATGGTGTTGCATTCCACAGCAACACCCGATGATTTCTCTAAATGTAGACATATTATTTAGGGTTTTATATGCTGGGGCCCTGGCTATAGTTAGTGGGTGTGCTCACACTGACCTATAATAAAGGAAACACACTCAACTGGGCTCTGGCCAGTGAACTAAAACTAAAGCCAGCTTGCCTTGCTGTTTGATTTGACCTCCTATACTTTCTTTATTGGACATAGCAGGTACAAAATTGTACTGCCACTGACCTTTGGTACGTTTCTGCGTTATGTAATCCTGGAGCGTGACTTGCATTGGTTATTTTCAGGGGTGTGGTTCCTGGTCGTTCCTTCCTAAGAAATCAGAATGTTCTGTCAAACTAACGTTACTCCCTTATTGACAAGCAGACTGTCATTACTCACAATCCAACAATGACTATCATCCACATGGCAGAGGGAAGAATTGCTGCACTAAACTGAAAAAAAATGCTTTCACTGACCTCTTCTGATTAAAAGGCCATTTTCAGACCGACATTAGCAGTGTGTGAAATATATATTGGTTTGAATACATCTTGCTAAATAAGCTAAAATGAGGTGTTAAGTTGCTTTTTATAGAGTAACTGAGGACTATGTTGAAAAGCAGTGTCAAAAGCTTCAAATGTGCAACACCTCTGACCACCTCTGGCATCACTGATGGATGTGGCCGTGGGCTCTTCGATGTCGCAATGTACTGACACTGTCGAATGCACTGCAGGAAGGCGAGAGTTGAACCACCAGAGGTCAGACGAAACAAGATTTTAAAGCAGGTGTTAAGCTACTTTTAAATGTCTCCGGGACTTTTACAATTCCATAATATACTAAGACTTAAATATCATCTGAAAATCTGCTACAGTGATGATCTGATTATGAACCCACAGACAAAACCTTTAACAAACCTTTTTTATGATTAGTTATGCGTTTATATCTGTTCTCCATGACTGATTTTTGTATCTGTAAAGAATTGCTTAATTAAGCATTTTTCACAAAGGTTATAGATACTGAAAGTCAAGGTCATCTCACTTCCCTTTATATACTGTCTGTGGCTCAAATCAGGTCTAAAAGTCACTTGGGATCAAACCAGAGAATTGCCAATTGTAGCTGTACTTATTTACTAGTTTCTGCTCCATGTGACATTTTGAATAAAACATCATTCATGGGGGAGAGTGACAAAGACCGAGGGGATGACAAGTCGAGTCATTCTGCTATCATTTCAGATGCGGGATCATGAATTATTTGGCAGGAAGATAACACTAATTTTGCATTAGATTCACAGCCCAGTGCACCTGCAGAGTTTCACCCCCAACACACATACACACACATGCACATTT